TCAGGGGAACTTTACAAGGATTTTGTTAGGAATCCACCCGCTTTATACGAGGAAGCCCTGAGGCGGGCAGACCATCAGGTTGAGGCAGAGGACGCTGAACTGAGAAAGTGTGGAATGACTTCCCAAACGGTCCTCTGCCAAACAAAAGGGTGGTGAAGTCATTTCAGCCGGGTTTTTCTCCTCTTGAATCAAAAGGGAGTTTGCACCTTTTCCGTCAATGGCAACCTGCTCTTCACGAAACGGGGAGGCCCCGCGCTTATCCCCGGGATCGAGCGGACATGAATCCGCACCAGGCGCAAAAGGTGGGGACGTCCCCGATGACACCTGCGGGGCGGCAGCTTCGTCTCTGTTGCCTGCCACACCTGAAAATATTAGCAAATTAAGGGACGATTTTATATGGTATCCGTGACCCGCTGGGACAGAGGATTTACCTATATACGAGTTAATCGGGAAAGGTCCCCCTTGGAGCAAGGTCTCGACCTTCTCCTCAAGGTCAGGGGTGAGAGAGACACGCTTATACTCGCGCATTGAAATACCCCAGGTGGACATGACGGGGAGTGAGCGCGGAGCGGATGCCCATACCCATTTATTCGACCACTTCCTGGGTGACTCTGGATACTGATCAAAGAGCTTACGGTGCGGTGATTGGCAAAGTGACACAAACCCACCATCATCTGTCTTATTGTTAGGGCGATTCCACCTAAAGCATGCACGGAACAACGGTATGGATGGCCGGATACCAACCCCATTACAGCGAACGACAAAAGCAGCCGTAAACATATGTGCGGTTGGGGTCCTCTGGCACGACGATATCCCAATATGGGCAAGGAGTGCCACCAAGAATGGACACAAAGGCACCTGCATGCCCCGCGCGATGGACGTAATGTGAACCCCTAAGAACGATTTCGGAGGGGGGCCAGTGAGGCTACTCTCGGGATCTGGCAACATGAGGGTGAAACCGCTACCGACCAAACTTTCCGCCAACTTCAAATCTGCTTCAGTACTGGTGGAACGCAAACGTTCCCTCCAAGCGTTAGGATCTTCGACACTATCTGATTCACCATCTGGTTTGGATGAGCTATCCGACTGAGAGGCAACGTCCACTACAGGGGTAATGTTGTCGGAGGATAGCACGGGCTTGTCATGTGCCCCCCCCCCCCCGGAGCAGGCCAAAGATGTCCTTTAACGATCACGACCCGCGTAGCGGGTCTGTCCAACCGCGATGAGGTGGTGACCTTTTCATGCGTCGTAAGATTTTCGGAGGCTCCTTGATTTTTCCCGGATGCCAAAAATTCGGGTTGAGACATTACATTCACTTCGTTGGCTTGAGTTTGTTTAATTGGGTCTCCATGCACGGATTTTTTCCCACCTCGTCGGATCAGGATCGTACGGCCGAGCCGCTTGGTGATGACCGAATGTTCACATCGCTGGTTTGGGTTTGCACGGCCACGCATCCAGGTGATGACCGTGTACGGCCGTCTCGCCACGACGGGCTCGTGCAACCAAGTTTCCAGGTCGTGACATTACGTCCACCTCGCCAGGTGGGGCTCGCGCAGACGATACCTGACCCGCCGGATGTTGCTGGGAATATTTGGCAGACGGACGACGTTCGCGGGTGGAGAGGGCACCATGATGAGCTTCGTGTCGCGGACTGCGTTGAGAACCCATGCGTAGGCTTGGAACAGGAGGCGATGATGACTGTGAATCACTGGGTTTTTTCCAACCGCCTGGGCTACGAGATTGCGACGACGAACAACGTCGTGAATGACCCTCCCTCCGGTGCGACGGAGAAGGGGAGCCGCTGCGTTTCCTTCGCCGGCTGGGGATGGAATGCTGCGGCGACGCCATGGCTGTGGCTGGAGCGGCTGAAACTGAGGGGACCTGTATGGCTGAAGCGCGTGTGGATGATCGATGGTGTTAGGGCAAGGCCACGCTCGGATTCAAGGAATTTAAAAGAATATGGAAAGAAAGAAAAAGGGGAAGTAAATTGCTAATTGGAATAGCTCCGGGTTATTTTAGGAAGCTGACCTGGGGTTTCTTTCACAAAATGCGAAGGCTTGGACGGGATCCAATCCTGGACGTGCGAGTTTGACCAAGCTAGCATCATACCAATTGGATTGCTTCTTTATTGGTCGGGTCGAAAGTATGCAGCTAAAGCCCAAGTATATTCGTCGCACGGTCAATATACAGCTACAGAAAACAAGGCCCACATTTTGGAATTTCAGGCCTGAATTATTGAAGCTGATGGGAAACGTTGCGTACCGTCAGGAGCAAAGCAGTAGGGAGCAAAGCAAAGGGGCCGATCAAGACCCGCGAAAAATGGCCCCCCTTCAGGACAACGATTGCATTGACGAGCACCCCGGGCTGCTACAACGGAGGTGCGACTAGCCGGCCAATCCGATAGCCGGACCGACCTTTGATCAGCTCGACTACTCCCTTCTAGCCGAGTCTGCTACTCGACTAAGGGAGTGGGGGACTCGTGTTGGGATAATGGCCAGGTCCAATACTATCGACCCAATATGCCTAGGCTCGGGCGCGAATCAGGCCCAACACACGGTCCGGCTAGAGAATATGGTCCTTGGATTGATTTGTTTAATTCTTGGGCCGACCGGCCCATTGGCCTTAGATCAAGCTTCTTGTTTTAGTTGTTTAATTGGGCCAAGCCCATTAGCCTTAGACCAACCTCTTGTAAGTGCCTATAAATAGGTCGCCCCTCCTTCTGTATTGGACACGTCACTTTTACTATACTGAATTGCTACCGAATTTTCTACTCAACATATTTTCTACCAACAGTAATGTAGACTATTAGCTCCAAAAATGTCAAAGCTGTAGTCGAGGAAAAACCATGAAAAGTTACAAAATTGCGAAAATACTGCTCAATGGGATTTCAATGATCTAGTGGTGGGAGTGGTGACTTGTGTTTTTTCTAACAAAAAAATGTCAAAATTGCATTTTAAGAGAAATAGGTTACTGCAATGTTATTTCCAGCATTTTTTACTTCTGGGGACTATGACTAAATTGTTGACATTCAAAAAACAAGTAGGTCTAATTTATCAAAATTAAGTTCCAGGCTCTGTTGATTCTAATGATGGTTAACATGCATCCCCGTTGTTCTGTTTTTGTATTGTTTCAATTCCAGATAATGGTCACATTATAGAAGTAGTAACAAGGTGAGAGCTAGATTGCGTCCCGGTTTGAGAAACCGGAACGTGCTTCAAAGTAGAGGGATTCAATGCAAAACGATCCCCCCTAGAATGAACAAACCCGGAAGCCCTTTAAAGGCTAAAGATGTCAAAAGTCCAGATGATGGTGAGACTGGGATTCAGATCAAAGGGAGGACGGTTATACATGATCGGTCCAAATTGGGAGAAGGAACAACATCTGCTAGAATTAAGGGACTTGGGTGATTCTGGAATTGCAAGAGTGATTGCTTTATTATTGGTTTAAAGATGGTCATTACCAGCTGAAGTTATTTATGGAATATAATTGAGCAAGCATGAAATTGCATGAAATTGCATAAGCAAATGAAGAGCCTGTTTGGACTGATTCTGCTGAAATTTATGAAGTTCTGGCTGTTTTGACTGTTTCTGCTGTTTTAAGTAAAAATTATTTTTAAAATATATTTTATTAATAAAATAAATAAATAAAAAATGTAAAATAGCTAAAAATCTAAAATGGTCATCTAACTTCAGTCAATATAGCCAGAAAAGTAATTTCAACCTTACTTTTTTTTGCTTATTACACAATTCAGCGCGCGAAAGTAAAAGTTACGAGCCCGTTTGGTAACACCAAAATCGACTGATCTGGCTGATTCTGCTGGAATTTATGAAGTTCTGGCTGAAGTGGCTGCATTGGCTGATTCTGCTTATTTAAGAAAAAACTATTTTTTAAATATATTTTATTAATAAAATAAAGAAAAAATTATATGGAAAAATAGCTAAAATGATCCTCTACAGTAACTTCAGCCAATGCAGCCGGAAAAGTAACTCTAACCTTTCTTTTTCTTTTTTACTTTACTCGAGAGGTCTTGGTCTAGTCCCCCTCTCTTTGTATTTCCTTATTTTATTAAAAAAAAACTGGTAAATGCTGCCCGGCATTTACCCCAACGATTTTGGTGGTTGGCTTTCCGGGCTATAAAAAAAAAGTTTACTGATAAGCCGAAAATGAGGGTTGGCAAACGGCCTCTACGTGTTTGGTGAAAAAATTGATTGATAAGCCTGATAAGTCAAAAAATGATGTTACCAAAAGGCGAAGTGTAAAAGATTTCGTTACATCTTAGCAATTACAAGGCAGTGTTTGTTATAGCTGTTTCCGAAGCAATACTGCTTATTACTTTTACAAAAAGACAATAGCTTTTTTAAGTTATGGATTCAGCTTAATTTTAAGCACTTTAAAGATGAAAACTCTATCCAAAACTTGGTGCTAGGGGTGGACTCGGGCCGGACCAACCGGCCCGGAACCGGACCGGCCCGCTACTGTGCGGGCCCGGACCGGCCCGCTACTGTGCGGGCCCGGACCGGCCCGGTTAACTGGTTGGTGCACCGGTTCGGGCCACCCGGCCCGGTGGGATGGCGGTCCGGGCTCGGTCCCTGATTTTGGTGAACCGGCCCGGTCGGTTCGGGCCCGGTCCGGGCCGGATTTTATTTTTTTTTTTTTTGAAATTTTTTTAAGTTTTGGGTTGGATTAGGTATTTTGGGCCATTTGAGGTGGTTTGGGGTGGTTTGGGGTTGAGGGGGAGGGGTAGGGGGTTAAAAAGGAGAACCAAAAAAAAAAAAAAGACCGGTTGGCCCGGCCCGGCCCGGCCTGGCCCGGTTTGGCCCGGAACCGGAACCGCCCACCGGCGGTTCGGGACCGGGCCCTAGTTTTCTGGCCCGAGGCCCGGCCGGGCCCAGGCCCGAACCGGGCCCGAACCGGCCCGAGTCCACCCATGCTTGGTGCTGTTTTAAACTGCTTTTTAACTTTTCTTTGACGTTTTACTTTAATAATATATCAAAACGTACTTCTTCACAAAACACTCTAACATTTACTTATTAAAACTCAATAATATACCAATGAATATAGTTTCACCAAACAACCCAATGTTTAATTTGCAAAAGCCATTTTTATTTTGAAACACTTACCACTTTTAGTATTCAACATTCATATAATCCTAAAATAAATCACTTCTAAGATGAGATGTGCAAAACAAATGAGTCTTTCCATCATATATAAGCTTAACCCCTCTAAGACATTCCTCTCTTAACCCCTTTATTCAAATTGCCACTTAGAAACTCACTTATGTACTCAAATCACAACCATAAAATCAGCACATCTTTGAACTGCTCTTGAGGATTGTCTGCAAACCATTTCATTCTGCAAGAAATGTGGCGTGTATTCTAGTTCTAGTAAAAGAGTAACCATTCCACCAGAATCCTCAATTATATTGCCAATCAAATAACAACTTTCATTCTTTCAGTTCAGAAATTTACAAAATGCAATCACCATTACTCTTTCTTGCCTTCTGCCAAGAAGACGCGTAGTGCCCTTCCCTCCAATTCCTGTGACATTTGAACTTTGTAATTAGAAAAATATAAGCGCGGATGTTGCAAATTAATCCAAGTAAATTTCATCATAATGTAAGTGATTCAATATACTTTGTGGGCAATACATGAGAAACACCAAGACACCAGACAGAACGTCCGAGGATTTGAATTTGTGGGGGAGTTGGAAAAATAGTTCATTCATATAAATTTTTGTAAGTGAACATTATAGTATTATACACATGAAAAAATATGTTTACTAAACTTGGAATGGGATGAGGTCCAAAGTGGTGTCTACCTATTTACACCCATGACCACTGGTTATCAAGTGCTACACGATAAGTTACTATACCAATATACATTAATGCTAAGAACAACAACTATTAGGTTATTCCAGTTTTGTTTCTTAATTTATTTATTTTCAGCTTTGATGCTTGCCTAAGATTTCTAGCTAGTTTTCATCAATAATTAGACACTTTCCTGAAACCAACTAACATTGCATTGATATTAACTGAATGGTTGGATACTTAGATAAACCAACAATGGCAATGAATCCACAGTCGTGCCTCAAGTGCAGAAGATTCATGAACTATATGTGTATAATGACGTAAAAGTCGTTGAACCAACATTTTTAAGAAAATCATTATGTGTTACTAGGGGTGGATAAGGATTGGTATGGTTGTTGGTACTGTGAATAGGAGGACTGGTCCAAACAAATGTTTGACAAATTTTGGATTCTTGTCTCTCCGTCACACCCGCCCCAATGGATGTAGTTACGCAAATTATTGCACTTGATATAAGAAACAAAGGCAATCAGAAAGCTGGAACCGGAACTGGAATCGCCGGTTCCGATCCCTGCTAACTGGAGCTAATACCACCGGTTTGATTCCGGCTCTCATATTTCAGGATTTGTACCAGCACTATGTCTACCCGACTATCCCTAGGCCCTAGTGCGTAACTCGTGTTGTTATTTAAGGGCAGTGCTTTAGCATTTTTCATATGGTGCATACCTCTCCATTCATAGAACTGAGTGCATTTTCCATCTCCTCTTGAGTTTCGTAGCTAACAAAACCATAGCCCCGGGACCTGCCAGTCTGACCGTCATACAGAACCCTTGCTCCGACCACATTACCATGTTTCTCAAATGCAGCTGATAGGATCTCAGATGTGACAGTCCAGGATAAGTTGCCTACAAACAGTTTGTGATCGGATTCTGGATATAGAGGGTCCTTTGCTTGAGGCCTGTTTGAGAAGTTCACCCTCATTATTCTACCTCCAAGTTCCTGGAATATATCCTCGTAAGGTGTAATTAAATAGCCCTTTCAGAATGAAACTAAGTCCAAATCAAAACTTTTGGTCCTATTTAACCTGTTACAAAATATATGTATTACAAAATATGATGTTTCTTACCGTTCTATCAAGATTTTGTATAACTGCATGACAATCTTCTATAGAACTCATTGTCACGAATGCATATCCTCGGCTTTTACCCGTTACTCTATCATACAGAACCTATACACACAAATACATGGTTAGATATTACGTTTATAAACATTACCAATGAGGGTCCAACCATGACAATACACACAAATGCATGGCTATATACTTAGTTACTTATTACTGTTAAAGACATAACCAATGAGGGTCCAACCATAATAATTAGATCACACACTCTCCTTGGGATGTGCATCAAAGAGAGTGGATCCAACCAGGGGCAGAGCTGAGAATTCATGTTGGGCTTTGTTTGTACTAGGCTGAAAAAATATTGAAGTAATTGAATGGAAAATAAGAAAAAGTTTATATTGAAAAATTAAAGAGTTACATATGTTGCCGCTGCTTCGGCAACATATGTTACACCCAGCCTGGGTCATGGTGTTACACCACATTCCTAGTGTAGATCCGCCTCTAGATCCAACCGTCTTCGTCCCCATACGTCAATAATTATATTTGTTGCATTGAAAGCCCCCATGCTCCAACAGTAGTAGCATTAATTGGAGCAAATCGAAATAGCGAATTCCTTGTGTGAAAGGCCACATTTGGATTAACACCTCAATTCCCACAATTTTCTTATTTCTGGTAGTTTGACTCCATCCTTCCAATTTCCCAATTGTTAAAGTACTTATCCCTTATTTTTTTAAAAACTTCATACAAAATAATACTCCCACCGTTCTTTATTAACCGTCTCATATTCCTTTTTGGGACATTTTTAATTATTTGTCTCTCTTTCCTTTTTTGGTAAGTTTTTTCAATCAATATTACCTTTATACCCCTACTTTTATTACCATTACCCATTTCTCTTTCCTACCTTTTCATTTATCCACAACCCACTACATCTCTTACGCTATCCCTATTATTTTCCCCTTAAAACCCGTGACAAAGCCTAAGAGGACATATAATAAAGAACGGTGGGAGTAGCTTTTTTCATGGAATCCTAAATCTTGATATAATGTGGTCTGATTGTGATATGTTTGTTGGACAACCCAGATTTGGGCAATCTTTTAGGGATTGGTTTGGCCCATTTTAAACTCTCCAGTTGTAATATTTGAGTTGAAGAATGTTATGTATTGGTGATCTGATGATAATAAACTTACAGAACTGCATATTTTCAGAATATCATCAAGTAATTGCAGGATGGACCAGTTCAAAATAATAGACTTAATCTGCAGAAATTAGTACTAAGTACCTCAACAAGCTCAGGGCTTCCATATTCTTGAACAACTCCAGCAAGCTGTGCACTGTCACAGTTATATGGCAAATTCCCAAAATAAAGCTTCAAATTTTGAACCCCACTTTCCTCCTCCTCCGTTCCCGTCGAAGCAGCTTCTTCTCCGTCAAGACCGGCCACCTCTTCTTGTTTTTCTTCCTCTTCTTCCTCCTCCTCTGTTTCCGTCGCAGCAACTTCTTCCGCCACAGCTAGCCTAGCTACTCTGCGTTTGGGAGAAACGGCGGCGGCGGGCGTAAACAAGCACCGGACCATTCCGAGGAAGTGGGACTGCAGTGATAAAGGAATCTGCGATGATGCCTTGATGGAAACATGAAGCCTGGGTAGTTGGTCGGAAGTGGTGGGCCTGTTCTTGGGGCGGCTGCAGTTGAGGTTTTGCATGGATGTGGAGAACGAGGATGCCATGGCGGTGGCTGCCATGTCGCCGGAATATTACTCCGGTTGCTGGTTTGCTGTGGTTGAGGGCTGTTCGGGTTGCTGGGACGAACTGGAGAAGGGAGCTAAGAAGAGTGAGTTTGTGGGTGAAGAAGAAGGGGCTATCGCGTTTCGTTTGTTGACGTGGCATGACAATGGCCAATAACAATGCAGAGAATAGACAATGGATAAGATTACCGGTTATCCTTTGATGGGTTCTCAGCATAGTTGATACTCCCTCCGTCCGAACTTCCAACTTTCCCTTTTCTTCCATCCAAAAAAGAACTTCACTTTCCCTTTTTGGCAAAAAATTTGTGGTTCACAGCATTTCTCTCTCCTCTGCACAACTCTCCACTACACAATTTCCACTCTCTTAATCTGTGTGACACTTTATTTTGCATGTAGTAGTTGTTACGTACTCCAGTGGCGTATGCGTATATGATATATTAAGACTATAGTAAGTTATGGACCTAGTCATGGGAAATAATTCTTAAACTATTTTTACACATACAGCTCTGAAATAAAGTGAGAAAAAAAATGTAAAACACAGGGTTTCAATAGACTTTGTCCAATAAATAACATCATATAACAAGTCAAAACTGATTTAAAAGTCGGATTGTCCCAAATCTCAATTTTTAGAGTAAGCGTATTTATATGATGAAGTAACTCTTTTGGGACTAATATTTAGATGTTGTTCTTATTGACTTGTTATATAGTCTTTTAACTGATGAATTGAAAATAATAACGAGTCATATTTAGACTCTTTGCCTATAAAGTCGTTGCAATGTCGTTGCTTGGAATAATATTACACTAGTACACAAGCATTACACTGATTGTTACATGTGATACGAGCGTATGTGCAATTGAATTTTTCTTTGAATAAATATTTTCTTTTATTTTTAGCTTATTAAAATTTGTTTACTTGTTTGCAGTTCAATATTTCTATGTGTAGTATTTTAATAAGGCGTGGCAAAGCGTCGAAGCCAATCCTCAAACCTTTAAAATTTAGGTGGCAATAGGCGAAACCAAGGCTTGAAAATGCGTTTTAGAATTCTACTAATAATTACTACAGATTATTTTATAGTGATATATAAAGAAAATAAATAAATGTCCAAAATATATTCTCCATCCGTCCCATTAGACTTAGTCAACTTTCTCTTTTTTATTATCTAAAAAATTTTTGTCACTTTCTCATTAAAGTAAGTAATTTGTGGTTGTTCTCAATTATCTCTCCTCTCTCAACCACACGATTCTTAGTTTTCTTATTTCTCACCTACTTCAAAGAGTGCAATGTCCATTGGGGCGGAAGTAATTTACAACATTGAACTTGTTTTCTAAAGAGAACACAGACAAATAAGCCCTCGAACTATTTGCGTTTTTGCAATGAGGCCCCTGAACCAGAAGAATTGCAAATACACCCCTCAACTCATTGAAAATCAAGCAATCAGGTCGTTTTTTACCCGCTGGTGCATGTAAGGAGATGAGAAACTACCGACACTAGCGGGGTAAAAAGGACCGGATTGCTTGGTTTTCAATGAGTTGAGGGGTGTATTTATAATTCTTCCGGTTCAGGGGTCTCATTGCAAAAACGCAAATAGTTCAAGGGCTTATTTGTCAGTTTTCTCTTTTTTAAATTGTTCAATATATATGATGTTTTCTTTTGGACTGTTTTTGGTCCCAGACTAGACCAGGGCTATGTTTGGCACAACGAGCTGGAACTGGAGGCTAATGTCTGAAAGAGGGACTATTGTCTGAATCAGAGGCTATTGTCTGGACCTGAACTTGGAAGTGCTGAATCTGAATTGCTAGCTGATTGGAATAAACTCGTTTGGCAAAAAGAGCTGAAGAAGTGCAGGGATAATGTAAAATTACATTAAAGGGCATATGATTTATTAATACAATACAATACAATAAAATACAATACAATACAATACAATACAATACAATACAATACAATACAATACAATACAATACAATACAATACAATACAATACAATACAATACAATACAATACAATACAATACAATACAATACAATACAATACAATACAATACAATACAATACAATGCAATGCAATGCAATGTGTTGGGATATATTATCCCGGCCTATTACTGTTCAAGAGCCCAAGATATTATCCAGTACGGAGCCTGAACAGTTTGGACCATTTCGGCCCATCCGGCCCACTTTAGCCTTTGGGCCTGTTTCGGCCCACTTGGCCCGTTAGGGTGGAGAGTACTTCCCATCCCCTTTCCTTATAAATATGGGGGTTTCCCTCCATATGAAGGAGACCTTTTTCCTCCTTCATGCTTCTTCTTCTCTAGATTAGATAATACTCTATTAATGGGAGCTTCAAGCTTGTATAATGTAATGGTGAGGAGAGCCTAATGAGAATTGAGAGGGCTTGGACATTAGCCTAAAAAGTCCCGTGGTTTTCTCCCTTTCGGGTTTCCACGTAAAAACTGAGTTGTTCATACACATTTATACATATATTTACTATATCGTGTTGGATTAAACTCAACACTGGCGCCGTCTGTGGGAATCTGTCCAAAAAGATACATGTATTCTGCTGTTCTTGAGTTTCTACGAGAAGAAATCCATACGAAGTGGACCGATTCCAGGAAAAAGAAGATGATATGAGTAGAAGGATCTGGGATTTAGATCTGGATCTTCAGAAAAGGAAAGAGGGGAGAAGCTAAGAAGTTTGGAAGTGAAACTCGGAATTTTCTCAGTGCTGGACCGGGGCCGCCGGAGCCGCCGTCACTGTCCCTGACCGCCGTGAACCCGCCGTTGTGTTCACCTGCGGCAGACGAGGCTCGCTGTGGTGCCCAAGATCTCGCGACACCTGCAGCACGGTAGCCCGTCGCGCGCAGCTACCTACACTCGAAAAGTCCCGCACCGCTGCTCGCCGTCAGGAACCAACCGCAGGCCAATCCTCCACCTGGTCCGAGACTCCGGGTCTGTGAAACCGTGAGAGCATCCACCGCCCTGCCGACGCAACTTGAGAGCTCGGGGAGGGGGCCAGAACCTAGCCGCAAAAGTCGTCCTTGCGCTGCGACCACCATATCCACCGGCAAAAAGTGGCCGGCATACAAGCTGCGTCCTAGTGGTTAGAAGGGTACTCCACCTGCCTTCTCTGGAAGATACACCGTATATAACGTATATGGCCCTCGGCAAACCACGTCCGCAAATTTGGGACCAAGTAACGTGAGGCCAGTGTATGGAAGAATTGACCAAGCTTTATCTCCAATCCAGCTGGCCGAAGCTTCATCTCCAAAAGCTAAGTGCCACTAACTCAATTTACTAGTTATTGACGTGTTAGAATAATACAACATGTTTAATATTGCTAGTATTTTTATCACCATTATTTATTAGGGATTAAAACTCCCGAAATTAAGTAATGAGAGCGATGCTCTAAGTGATAATTAGTTTCACCGTCATTTAATTTTAATGACTGGTTGTTGTGAGCCTGTGGGCCCACTCCGGTTTGGCTTAGGTTAGCGAACGGAGCATACCTGAGTGGCCTTTGATAGGATAATATCATTGCTATTACCTGTTATATCACTATTATTTATTAGGGATAAAATGTCCCGAATTAAATAATATTGAGCGAGGCTCAAGTGATGGTTAGTTCAGCAAACATTTTACTAAATATTTAATTTCTTGAGGGCCCGATGTCCCACTCTCGATCAGCTTGATTAAGCGATCCGAGCGTCTGCAGGGGGCAGTGCCCCGACGACGCATTTCTATCTGGAGGGTTACGCCTTTAGCCTGCGCGGCACCAAGGGCCTGGTCGACGATCGTACCCCAATATCATCTACGCCATTAGGCGCAAAGTGACTGTTGCTAAACGCAGCCTATGGGGCCCGAGGGCACCAAACCACTCAACCTCGTCTTTCCAAGGGCAGTGCGACCAACTTGGGTCTGAGTTTGAAAACTCACGGACCGATGAATATCTCTATGCGACGTTCGGCGGGCTGCCAGTTGGCCCCGCCACGAGCTGCTACATCCATTAGTCCCGCACGATGAGCCGGGCCGAGGGTCACGATGACCCATAGGCCGGTATTCGTGGATGTTAAAGAGGAAGCCATGCAGATGGTTATGTGTGCATATTTATTGTTGGGCCATGTGGCCGTTACCATGCTTATTGCGCAGCTGAAATCACTCGACGCGCTCGAGTGAAATGATTAAAAGACGCTCGGCCCGAGTCTTGAAGACGTTCAGGGCCAGCTAAAGAGGAGACCATCACGGCGGAGGACCGTGAGACGAGCATCTCCACCCCAGAGACCGATGGCCTAGGAGAGAACACCTAGAGGCCGAGGGTCTATAGTGGACTACCACGGCGGAGGACCGTGAGACGAGCATCTCCACCCCAGAGACCGATGGCCTAGGAGAGAACACCTAGAGGCCGAGGACTATAGTGGACTACCACGGCGGAGGACCGTGAGACGATCATCCATCATTCAGAGGCCGAGGGCCTAGAGGAGACCATCACGGCCGAGGGCCGTGAGACCATCCTGATTTTCAGGTCGGCCTCTCATCGCCGACATTATCATACCACGACCGGCCCCTCGGCTCGGCGTGTTCATCTTTTGAAGACCGGCCTCGTCCCCGCGCTGCGCGGATGAGGACCGTTGCTTGGTTCTTTCATGTCGGCCTCTCATTGCCGACACCGTCGTACCACGACCGGCCTCTCGGCTTGGCGTGCCTATCTTTTGAAGACCGGCCTCGTCCCCGCACTGCGCCGATGAGAGCCGTTGCTGGATTGAAGGTCGACCCTCATTGCCGACACTGCCACATCATGTTCAGCCTCTCATCGCCGACATTATTATATCACAACCGGCCTCTCGGACCGGCGTGATTACCATATTCGAAGACCGGCCTCGTCCCCGCCACCTCGCGGACGAGGACCGTTGCTTGACCATATCTTGATCGGCATCTCATTGCCGACATTATCATACCACGACCGGCCCCTCGGCTCGGCGTGTTCATATTTGAAGACCGGCCTCGTCCCCGCACTGCGCGGATGAGGACCGTTGCTTGTTTTCTCAGATCGGCCTCTCATTGCCGATATCGTCATATCACGACCGGCCTCTTGGCATGGCGTGATTATCATATTTGAAGACCGGCCTCGTCCCCGCCCTCGCGGACGAGGACCGTGCCTGTTTTTCTCAGATCGGCCGCTCATTGCCGACACCATTATACCACGATCGGCCTCTCGGCTCGGCGTGCTTTTCTTTTG